ACCTGACAGGCTTCTCCAGAAGAAATTTCAGTCCTCACTTCCCAAGAGAATGCCTGAAATTAGAAAAGCTGAGGACTCCTCGGAATACCTGTTTCTCATCGTTGCTACTTTGTACAGCATCCAGCATCCCCAGCTCCTTGCCCAACCACCTTCCTCCAGGGTCCTTCAACTCTGAGACACAGAATACTTGAATTTTTCCAAGAGCTTCATTTTCTTCCAGGAATTCACCTGACTGTAGACTCCTATTTTCCCTGAGCAAGGGAAAAGGAGCCTTCAATCAGCTCCCAGGAAGATGACAGCATCTGCTTGGGGATTCCAATGAGATGTTTTACTGTAGCTTTTCACAAACTGATTATAGTTAAAGCTCCCTTGGGGAGTGGGGGCTGGAAGGGAAGCAGCTTCGGAGGAGACCTTCATTGACATGAGTCAAGAACCGCTCAGACCTCCCAAGGGAACAGTTGTTTAAATACCAGCAATCCACATTCCCAAATGGATGTGCACACACAATACATCTAGTTTTAAATTTCACCCCCTGCTCCGAAAGGGTCCCGAAAGAGTTAAATTGTTCCAGGCAAAGGCCTGAGGCTTTTCTATCAAAATGCTCCAGATGGAAATTACAAAATTTCACTGCTCAGCTCCATGGTGCGGTGCACACTCACTGTTCTTCTAAGACATAAAAAAAAATAAAATAAATAAAAAAAATAAAAAAATAAAAAAAGACAAGACAAGACCCCTAATGTTCTGCAGAGAGAGAATTTGACTGCTCAGCACAGTGCCACTCTGTTTCAGATTATTTCTCCTGGAATATTTGCATGAACTGTCAATCTCAAGCCTTTTTGGGGACTGGAAAAACTCAAGGTGTGGAGGGGGTAAAGGAAAAGGGGTCTTGGACAATAAAACCAGGACAATGACCGGGACTGCACGCAGTGATATGAACCCACACAAAAACCACCCAGATGATTGCCTCTGGAACCATGCACCTTACCCCCTTCCACCACTCCAATCCCAAAGAGGCTAAAAGGCTAGAGGCCAAAAGGCCATGAATCTGACTAGGGTTGTCAAGAATTTCCAGAGATTAATGTACGTGAAAGAGCTTTGCAAACTGGAAAGAATCACATAAAAGCACCAAGAATATTATTGCTCTCAAGTCAGACATTGAGAGGCATGAACTTTCAAAGGAATCTGAACAGAACACCCACAAACGAGAAACAATGATGGTTTTTAAGAAGGCGGCTACAAGGCAGACTGACTGAGAAGGCAAGCCCCTCCCTCATACAAGCAGATGGGATAGCGTTAGGCCTGCAGCCTCGGAAGTCTGTTAGGATACATGCAAGCAAGTGGTTTGAAGGGAGGCAAAAATCATGATAGTCTGGGTCCCAAAAGTCCATTTAGAGTTCACTTGCCTCAAACCGTTCTGATTGAAAAGCAGGACCCAGGACTGCGGTCAAATGCATAGACGCCAACAGCAGCCAACAATTAGACAGTGTGCGTCTTTGTTTTATGGGTCTAGAACAGCGATTTTTCAACCAGTGTGCCGCAGCACTCTGGTGTGCCACAAGAATTTTTAAAGCAAGCAATACCATTTAGTCAGGGGCACTGACTTCTTTTCCCTTCGATTGTCAGATTAAAAACTAACAACAGCCAACAGAATAATAGCCATCTGGTGTGCATGAATGGAAATTATACTTTTTTATTTTGTCAGATTGGCAAAAGAATATGTTTTTGGTGTGCCACAGAGTTTTAGTAATTAGTGATGTGTGCCAGGAGATGAAAAAAAGTTGGAAATGGCTGGTCAAGAGGGTTTAAGGAACTGACCCAAGAAACATTTCGCTACTATGGGAGAAATTCACAAGAACTCGAATTTCATTCCTAGACTTGTTTCCTACCCTCTAACTGCAGGCCTTTGGGGAATGCATAGGCAAACAGGTCAACAAGAGGAAAGGTTAGCTAACAGAAAGCAGACTGTGCTATTACTAAGTACTTACTTACAAGTGCCAGATACTGTGCTAGATGAGTTACACATACTATCTCACTGAATCCTAACAACTACCTTAGCAAATGCACATTATTTCCCAAACTAGGAAACTGAGGCTCAGACAAGTCATGCAACTGGCCCAAGGTGCGATCAAGGCGAGTGGCGGAACTGAGACTTAACCTGGATCCCTTAGACTCAAACACTTGGGACCTTAACCACCACACCAAAACAGCAGTTTTCTTTATTATGTTGGCAGCTAGAAAAGAAGTCAGACTGGCAGCACTATGAGTCCCAAGAAACTATTATTCTGATAAGGGCTTCTAGCTAATAGGGGAGAAGAGCTAATCCAGAACGTTCTTTGTCTCCAAGATCGAAGCTCTTCCATGGAGACCAAGGGCTCTAGAATGTAAGCTCCAAATAGGAGGAGCTTTTTGGCTTGTTGACTGCTACATCGCCGCTCCCAGATCACATGGAAGGCACTCAATAAATAGGTGATGAATAAAGGAATGGAGTCAATCTGCTGGGTGACCTTGGGAGTGGGGTAGCTTGTTATCCTTGCTAAACCTGTTTCTTTGTGCAACAAATAGAGAATGAAATAATATCCACCTCCAGAGTTGATAGGAGAATTAAATGAGACAATTCTTATAAAGCAGGCTGGAACATAATGAGCACCCAAAATGTAATATATTATTATCATATTCCTACTAGTATTCATTGACAAATTTTGACTTCCTAAGATTCCCTCCCCAACTGTGGTCAGATAATGTTTCATAGTCAATACGAATATAATAAAATAAAGAACTAGGTGTTGGTAACCTGCTTCTAGTTTCAAATCTACCACTGCCAAGCTGCATGACCTTGGACAAGCCTCTTTAATTTCTCTATACTCTTCTCAGCTATAAAATGAGGGACTGAAACATTCAAATCAGTATCATAAGCATTTATTGGGCACCTTCTCTGAATAAGACAACACGCTCAGCCACCTATAAAATCTATGAATAGTGTCGATGAAAAACATATCAGAGCAAAGCAAAACAGTCCCCCGCTTGGTGGCAAGGTGAAGGAGAAATACCAAATAGCCAACTTCATTACGTCATCTCAAGGAGCAATGTTTGTAAATACACAAAGTGTTTAATTTTGAGACATTCGTGAGAAATCCTTCCCCATTAAGGAATCAGCAGATACAGTTCTATTAACACCTATCAACCCTGAACCTTCCAAAAAAAAAATAAACATGTGAAATCATTTTGCACCTCAAGTCAAATGGCATGCTTCTGGAGAGAAATCTGGGAAAGTCAAAGTTATTCAAAGCTCCCTATGGCAACAGTTAAGAATAGGATGTGTAAAAAAAAAAAAAAAAAAAAAAAAAAAAAAAAAAAAAAAAAGAATGACATATCTGGTTAAAACTACAGGGTGAAAGGTGGGGGGTGGGAGGGAATTCCAGAAGCAGAATGCAGTGCATCTGTGCAGGACATGGAGGTAGTGGCCTATTGTTTACAAAAGCAGGCTTGGATTATGAACAGTGACAAGAGGCCAAGACCTCAATTATCATTCACAACCACACCTCTCCCAATCCCAGTTCAACTGAAGCTATCAATCAGTCAACGCCCCCATCTTCTGTCATAAACCCACCAATATTTGTAGCCAAGTGGAGAGAAGGTCCCCCAGGGCACCTCCAGCGCTGACCCAGCTGATGACATTGAAAAGATCCCACAGGCACAATGGGGACTTCCAACTACCTCCAACCCTAAGGTATAAGACAGCTGCCCATTTCAAACTCTTAGCTCTGCCCCACCCCAGCAACCATTCGAGGGGAAACATGGCCTTTTCCAAGTCTTCTGTGATAGGAAAAAAGTCTCCTTGAATTGGTGCAGGGAACGGAGGGGCCCCTCCCTCTGCACTCTGAAACAAAGGAAAACCAGAGCTCCAACCATGTGGTGTGACATTCGAGGCCACCCACTCTCCCATTCCCCAGCTGAGGAAGTCTCAATGGGCTAGAGCCACATGGCTCTTCCCAGTCACCCGCCAGGAAGGGACAGTGCTTGGCACAAACACATGCTGGGGCTCCTAATGAGGGGGAGACCCCTCCCATAGGAATGGCTGGTTTAAAAAAGAAAAGGGGCTTTGATTCACAACCACACCTCTCCCAATCCAAGTCCACTAGATGTGAAGACAGGTCCTTTGGTCTCTTCGGATCCACATTTTGCTTTCCCCTTCACATTTTTGCAGGTAAGTGGGTCATTAAAAGCATGTATTTCAGAGCAGAGGGTGACCATGCAGAAAATGAGACAATTATGTCTTCCCATCCTCCAGAATCAGCACCACCCAGCAACCCTAACATCCCAACTCCATTCAGGTTTAGGTGAGGGCGGAGACCGAGTGTGAGTGACCTTATTCTTTCTGTTCTCTGATCTTTGGCTGAATGCAGGGCAACCAGAGACTGGGCAGACACAAGGGGCATCCCAAGTGGCTACAGACTGTGTGTGTCCGATGCCATAGCAAATGTCACGTTTGGATAGAGTGCATCAGGAAAAAAAAAAACAAAACAACAACCACCTCTCTCAGGGCTCTCCAAAAGGTACACATTCTCAAGGTTGCCTTTCTCTGCCTGGACTCCACTCCAACCTCGGGAATACCCCAACACCTGTCAGATTTCAGGAGTCCTTCAAGCAACCTGACCCAGACAACCAGAGGCAAATTGCCGCCTTTCTCTCTCCGAGAACCTCCCGCCCCTCCCCCCAGCCCTTTCCAGCTTGGGAGAAAGGGCTGACAAAATAATGGCCAGCTCTACAAGAACAAACCCAAAAGCCCCCCCTGAGAGCCCCTTTCCTGAGCCTTGGAAAGGGGTAGCCCCTGGCACTGCCCATCTCTCCAAGGCTCAGATCCACCTATGAAACTACCTCTGGGGTCAGCCTGCCGCCACCTGCTCCACCCAAAGAAATGAACCTCCTGCAAATCAGGGTGGAAATACATGCCCCCATGGCTCACCCAGCATATGCATTACGCTATTTTTCCAAGCCCTTACCTTTGACCTGAGTATCGTACTCTGCAATGATCTCCTTATCCTTTTTGAATTTGGCTGGAGACGTCATGTTTTCCTCCTTTCTTCCAAATTCGAATCGTGAATTGATAGATCCACGGAAAAAAATCCAACCACCTCAATCAATACCTCCACGACCGCTTCTCCTGAAGGCAGAAGGGGCCCACCGCGGTGGTCTCCAGCGCTCCGGGGAGCGCGGGCTGCGGGCTGGGCAGGCGGCTACGGCGGGCACATGCAGCCGGTGGGCTCTGGGGCCGGGCGCGGCAGCGGCTGGTTCCTGTGCTAGAGAGCCCGAGCCGCAGGCTCAGCATCAGCCAGGAGAACTGCAGCGCCCGGAGGTTGGCCTGGGGTCTGACATCAACGGCACAGGCGGGGAGTGCAAGTCCATCCGCACAACATGGTGTGGGGGGTGCGGGGGTGTGGACGCGCCCAGCAGAGTCCCCGGGAGGGAGTGGGTGCGTGTCGGGGTGCCGGAGGAGGGCTGGGCGTGCTTCGCGGTTTTTTTGTTGCACGGGCTCTCCAAGATGCTGCAAATCAAATCCCAAACGGGAGCCGCCGCAGCAGCACGGACTGAATCGGAAGTCGTTTGCTCCGGTTCACTTGCCTGTAAATGCAGGGATAAGGGGGGGAGGGGGGGGGGGTGATCAGCACCAGAGCAGATTCGAATCGCTGCAGGGGTGGGTTAGGGGACGACACTCCCAGCCCGGCCCAGGCCCATTCATCTCCAACCAGCGCCGCCCGCCCGGCCAGGAGAGCTCGGCGAGGCGGCGTGGGGAGGAAGGAAGCTCCCTCCGGATTCTGTTTTAAGGCTGCGAGAGAACACTTCGGAGCAGCCGCCTGCGCAGGCTTCGTTCGGGTGGGGACTGCGGCGGGAACGCGGGGCTCCGGGCGGGGACTGCGGCACCTCGGCGGCCTCCCGAGCCCCGCCAGCGCTGGGCAGCGGCCAGCCGGAGGGACCCCGCCCTGCCCAGCCTCCGACGCGGCCCCTGACCCCCCCAGCGAGGCGACTCCCTGAACATCAAAGGGGATCAAAGCCGCGAAGGGACCGGCCACCGGGGCACAACTTTTCTTTCCCCTCCCGCCCCTCCTCCCAGTTGTTTTGTTTTTGGTTACTAGCTTCCCTTGGCAGCCAAAGGTTGGGAGGGTGGGGGGGAGGTGGATCTGCAGGAAAAAGCCTGCCCGGCAAGGGACACAGGGACACATCCAGGAAAACAATGTGGTCGGCAGAAGCAGGAAACGGGTTAGAGGCGAGGGTCGGACTCGGGAAAATCGGGAGCGGGCGGGGGGAGGGGGGCGGAAGGCAGCCGTTGCCCTGCCCCAAGCCAGGGATGAGAGTGACTCTGAATGCCATCTCCAACATTTTTTTGTCGTCACCCAAACCCAGAGATCCCAGGCTGGGGGCGCGGGGAAAGGGATCCGTGACGATCGCAGACCCAACTTACTCGCTCCGGGAGGTGCCCGAGGGAGATCCCGCCCGGGGGAAGAGGGAGGGAGCCGGCGGGAGCTCAGAGCTCGGCGCGCCGCAGCGGCCACCCTCCCTCCCCGGCCGCCCCTTCCCCTCTCGGATGCCGGGAGCAAGAAGAGGCTCCCGCCGGCGTCTCCCGCTGCCCGAGCCCGGAGAAAGGGCCTCGGGGAGCGAGGAAGAAGGAGCAGAGGCGGCGAGGTGGTTCGGGCGGGCAGGAAGCGGGAGGGGAGGAGGAGAGGTGGGGTCCCGAGGCTGCACGGGAGCCGCACACACTGGAAGGACGAGGAGAGGGGAAGGGCAGGGTTACCTTAAAGGTGAGGGGGTTGAGGGGAATTAGGGGTCTATCGCGGCCCGCGAGGTTGCATGAAGCGCAGGGATGTTAACAACTTCGGGGACCCACTGATGGGGTCTGGGAGCCGGAGTGCGAAGAGGAGCCATCGGGGCGGGCCGGGGGCTGGGACCCGGGAAGAAGGGCCCGGAAGCAGCGCGGGACACCCCTCCGGGTCCAGGGCTGTACGGCGGCTGTGGGCCAGGGCCTGGAGACGGGGTACGAGGGCAGCTGACGGGGACGGGTGTTGCCAAGGAAGGCTGACCCCAAGCTGGACCGAGGCTGTCCGGCTGCAGAGAGCCTGGGGAGGGGGCTGGGAGCGGGTTTGCGCGGCGGCGGGAGCGAGGAGGGCACAGCCCAAGCGGTGCGGGGAAGGGCGGAGGGATGCCGTCCAGAGGAGTGTCCGGGGCTGTACACAGAGTTTGGGAGAGGATCGCGGGGGGAAGGAGGGGGAAGGTTTGAGGGACTCGGGGAGGCACGGCTAAAGCGATGCAGCAGCAAAGCAGCATCTTGCGCCCTCCTCTCCTTTCCGCCCCAACCCGGGTTTGTTCCGTCAGGGCTGTGGTCCCGCGGCCGGGAAGAAGAAAGGGGAGAGGGAAGGAGCCTTTTACCTTTGGCTCTGACGCGACGGGTCCCAGGCCCCCGGGTCCGCTTTCCACTCAGAGTTCTCCTGCCCTCGCTTCCCCGCCACCCGCTCTCCTACGCAGATTGGTCCCCTAGTCCCCTCAGGAGCCTCCGCCAACTCCGCGGGACCCCGCCGGGAAGCAGGACCCACCCCTTTGCCAATCACCGCCCTCATTCTATCGACCGATAGGGCCTGCAGCCAATAGGAATGGCTGATCCCGAGATGCCAGGAATGAGGAGGCGGGACTGGCGAACCCTGGGGGCGTGGCTAGCACTCACCGAGGCGTAGTCACGGGGTAAGCCCCGCCCTCAGAACCCTGGGGCCGAACCCCAAAGTAGAATTAGTGGGCGGGACTTAGTTGGAACTAACAACCAAATGCGAATTCTTGAGAAAAGGGGCGACCAATTGGACAGGGGCGGGGAGGAGGGGTTTTGGGGAGAATTTTAGCCAATAGAGAGTAAGAGACCAGAGTGGACTGTGGAACGTCATCCAATAAGAAGCGCAGAGGGCGTCCAAGCTTCTTCCCCTAGAGCCGCGGAGTAGGCCCGCCCAAACCTCCAGAAGCCCGCCAATGAGGTCGGCGGCAGCGCCACGCTCGGCCAACCAGAAAGCGGAACCGATATCCGCACCGTTACTGGGGCGGGGCGAACGGCCCTCTCGCCACTAAGATCCCGTCTGCGGCCTCCGAGCCTTCCAATGCGGGGCGTGGGCGAACTCTAGTTCTCCCAATCGGTGCGCGGCGATGGAAATTCAAACTGACAGCCGGTTTGGAAAGGCAGAGAGAGCGGAAGAGCAGGCAGAAAACGACGCGTTCGGGGACCGAGACCCCAAAGTCAACTGAGCCCCCCAAAGCGAGCCCCACCATCACCGCCACCGCCGCCGCACGTTCTGGAGCGGCCGCCCCGGGAGAAGCCTCGAGGGAAGGCCGCGGGGAACGGGGGGGAGGGAGCACGAGGGGATCGGGGGCTACCGCGGGAGAAGCGAAGTGGGGAGCTGGCTGGAACGGGCCGAGCGGTGGAGGATCGCTGGAGGACCGCAGAGAAGCAGGGACCCTCCCCCTCCCGGTGGGCAGGGCTCCGGGGACCTCCGAATCCTGGGAAGTGGAGAGAAAGATTTCCTGAAAGAGGCGTGGGTAGGGAGGCAGCCCGCGTCCCCACGAATAGGAATTGGTGCTCTCCGAGGGAGGGGCTTGGGAGAGGAGAAGCTTTAAACACCAGAGAATTGCCAGCGGGGAGGATCCTTTTAGGCCGGAGGGAGGGGCAAACGGCCGAGAAGTTCCCGAGGCCACTAGCAGCTGGGCCCTCCCCACTTCAAACCTCTCCCCCTTCCCGGAAAGTTAAAAGGAAAGCTAAAATTGCTGCTGCTGCTGCTGCTCTCCTTGTTCCTGCTCAATAAACATTACTTTTCCTTCCCAATTTTAGGGCTCAGCAAAGCTCGAGGCCTCGCAATTTTGGGTTTAGCCCCGGGGGAATCCACCTAGGAAGGGTCTTGCTCTCGGTTGCATTTTTTAAAACGCCCCCCCACGCCACATCCTTCCCGGGACGCCATGTCTACCAGCAGTTGTAGTTTCGAGGACCGGTGCGTGTCCATCCTGTCTTGCAAATTCTGTAAGCAAGTGCTCAGCTCTCGGGGAATGAAGGCTGTTTTGCTGGCCGATACAGAAATAGACCTTTTCTCAACAGACATCCCTCCTACCAAGTAAGTCCTACGCTAGCGGCGGGCAACGCACGGTAGCCTGTAACTAAAAATGGGAAAATGTTATGGCTTGGACCTCGGAGTCAACCAGCAGGTTATCATTTTGGTGTCGCAGCCACTCCCACCAGTCTGATGATCCCCTTGGAGTGTAACTAAGTGGGCAGACTGTCTGGACTTTAAAGTCTGTGGTTTAGCCGGAGCGGTCGGTCCTGATGGAATGCTTGGAGTCATGTGACCACACCCCTTGAGTTGGATCCCTGGCCCTAGGCCCTGCCCAACTAGCCTGTCTCACTGGATCAAGGCCATGACCTAGACTCTAGGAAATTAAAGCAAGCTTTTTTTTTTTTTTTTTTTTTTTTTTTTACTGTTGGAGAGGTCAAGTTTTTCATTTTTATCCATCGTTTTACACCCCCCAAAAAATTCATAGTTTTGTACCATTATTTGCGATTGGCATTGCTTATTCCATTGTCCTTATAATTTAGTATTCTTGTCTCAAAAATCTCCTTTTCTGAGAAAGACTTAGATTTGTATGGGATGGAATTAGACTTACCCCTTAAAGAATCCTTGTCTTCCATAAAGCCTATATTGGATATTATGCATTCACTTGTGTAATTCAATCCTCTAATTGTTTTCAGTCACTACCCACTTTCAGGTGTAGTAGAGTGCTTAAGAATTTACTTCCTATTTGGGAAAACACACATGCATTTTATTTAACTCAAATACACCTTTTTCTAGCTCTAAAAAGTATTTTCTTTCTCCATGGTCAACATAGCTCTTAAATGATTTTTCAAGATTTAGCTCTTTATTGAATCTTTATCATTAAAGTGAAAGAGTGATTACCCAAAACATGGGTGAATAAGCAAGTATTCTTTGGACACAGCCAGAGGAGGCAGCTAATAGTTATAATAATTTAAAGTGAATTTCATTATAATAAAAGAAACTTAAAAACGTTTTTTTAGCCTGGCTGGCTTGGCTCAGTGGTTGAGCATGAACCCATAAACTGAAAGGCCATGGTTCAATTCCTGGTCAGGGCACATGTCCATGTTGCAGGCTCGATCCCCAGTGTGGAACATACAGGAGGCAGCTGATCAGTGAGTCTCTCTCATCACTGATATTTCTATTTCTCTCCCTCTCCCTCTCTAAAATCAATAAAAACATATATTTTTTTAAAAGTATAATATAGTGAAAGTCGTGAACTCTTCCTCCTTTGAAATCTTTTCTGAACTGGTTCAAGTGTAGTCATTCCCAATGGCAAAGATACATATTACAAAGATAAGTGGGTTAATATTTAAGTACGTGTGTGTGGTGGGGGGAGGGGTTGAAAAAAGAAAAATCACTATACAATACATCTGGAACCTACTATTGCAAAGGTCCTATGATTCGACTATTAACTCATTCATCTTTACAATAGATATGGTAAGTGATGAGACAGTCATAAGAAGGTTCATTGTTAAAGGTTAGACAAGAGTCTAGAATACAGTTGTGTCTTTCCCATTGTCTATGCTTCCTTCTAGAAGTAATAAAAGTATGGATTAATGCTTGAAGATCAGTGAGCATATAAGATTTCTAAATGAAAGTTTTATCAAATTATGAGCTCACAAATATTAACTGACTTACAAAATATACTATAGTTCTATTTCAGACTCACTTTTAGCTCTTTGGGCCTATAAAATTCATACTGAATCACAATCAAAAGTACATTTGATAGCAAGAACATGGAAAAATTGGAACCCTTGTGCACTGTTGGTGCTAATGTAATTTGGGCTGCTGCTATAGAAAAGCGTAACAGTTCCTCAAAAATTGAAAATAGAATTACCATATGATTCAGCAATCCCACTTCTGGGTATATATCCAAAAGAATTCAGTGCAGGACCTAGAAGACATATGTGCTCAGCCATGTTCTTAGTAGCATTATTCACAAAAACCAAGTGGTAGAAGCAACCCAAATGTCTGTCAATAGCTGAGCAAATAAACAAAATAAGGTATATGCAAACAATGAAATATTATTCAGCCTATCACGTACTACAATATGGATGACCTTGAGGCCATATGCTAAGTGAAAATAAGCCATTCTCAAAAAGACAAATGCTGTATGCTTCTACCCTGTTTCCCCGAAAATAAGACAGTGTCTTATATTAATTTTTGCTCCCAAAGATGCACTAGGTCTTATTTTCAGGGGATGTCTTATTTTTCCATGAAGAAGAATACGGTACACATTTATTGTTAAATGAAAATAAAGGAAATTTATTACCTCTTTATGGTATGGTAGTATGGCAGTTGTCAACACAAACCAGACAAACTGTGAATCCTACGGAATCAAGAATTTACTCATTTATTCAATGACAATCATGTCATCATCTTCTGGAACATCATCATAACAATCCAATTCCTGAATTTTCTGGTGAATTTCTTGTGACTCCATTTCTTTCAGAATCAGTGGACCAAATCTCTTATGTTTAGCCTAGGGGGGCCTTATATTCAGGGGGATGCCTTATATTTTACTCAGAAGGAAACCTGTAAGTAGGTCTTATTTTCGGAGGATGTCTTATTTTCGGAGAAACCTGGTACTTATATGTGGTATCTAAAGCAAAGTAAAATGATGATTGCCAGGGCTGGGGGGAGAGGGAAATGGGGAATTGTTTAATGGTCATAGGGTTTTAATTTTATAAGATGAAAAAGGTCTGGAGATTTATTGTACAACAATGTGAATACACTTTTTACAGTTCTGAACTGTACAGTAAAAATGGTTAATAAATTTTATGTTATATACATCTTACAATTTAAAAAACATACATTTGACTATCTCTACACTTTTCTCTCTTCAGCACAGTGGACTTAATAGGAAGATGCTATTATACTGAAATCTGCAGATGTAAACTGAAGGACATCGCATGTTTAAAATGGTATCTATGACAATATTCCAAATAGCCCTGGGTTTGGGAGATGGGTGTTGACACCAAAGCAGATACAAAGATTCAGTGGACTGCATCGAGCACCGGTTATAACCCTTGCAATGAGCCACTGAAAAACCATTGGTTACTTGGAGCTATTTTTTTAAAGGGCCTGGGACACTCTAAATTTGTATATGGTTTTATAATTTCTCAAAGTTCATTGACAAATATCTGCTTTAATTTTTAGAAAAAGGAAAGTCGTTCAGAGGGGGGAAACGCACCTGGATTTAGTCATAAAAATTAGGTTTGAGACCTGCCCCTACCCCTACTCTCTGTTTGATCTTGAATAAACTGAAAACTCTGAACCTCTTTATTTCCTTATTTAATTTCTATCTTAAGAAGATAAACTTGAGAAAATAGGAACTATCTTTTTTTTGTTGTTGTTAATCCTCACCTGAGGATATTTTTTCCATTGATTTTTAAGATGGGAGAGAGACATATCATGTGGGGAGCAGGTATCAAACCTGCAACCCAGGTACATGCCCTTGACTGGGAATCTTACCCATGATGCTTTGGTGCACAGGCCGATGCTCTAACCACTGAACATACCAGCCAGGGCAGGAACTATCTTCTTAAGATAGAAATTAAAATATCTTTTGTGTTTACCTTCCAGAGTTGTGCAGATCAAATGAATTATGGATGTTAAGAGGCTTGGTAAACTATAAATTGCAACACAGATGAAAGTTATTATATTACTGTTATCTTTTGAGAAGTAAATTTGTGTTATTAGTCCCATTTTAGAGAGAAAAAAGTTGAGATTTTCTCATTCAAATGGGGTTTGGATTATAAATTATAGTTATAACAATTTAAGTTAGCAAACTCTTCTTTTGTGCTAATGACTAATTTTATTCATTCATTAGTCAATAAGATATATTTTTTAAATATATTTTATTGATTTTTTTTGCCCCCCTCCCTCCCAGACATACCCTCCCTCCCCAGAGTTTTATGTCCATTGGTTGTAGTTATATGCATGTATACAAGTCCTTCGGTTGATCTCTTATCTCCCCCAAATCTCCCTCCCCTCCCCGCTGTAATTTGACAGTCTGCTTGTTGCTTTAATAAATGAGATATTGCATAGGCTAGGAAGTGCTCCAAAGGAAATAATAATAACAATAGAGAATAATAGAGGTTGGGAGAGTGGGTAAGAGCTATTTTTCATAGCATGGTAGGGAAGACTCCTCCTGAGAGTTGAATCCTGAAGGATGAGAAGCAAACAGAAAGAATATTCTAGGCAGAAGGAACAGCAAGTACAAAGGACCCAAGGTAAGAAGAAGCTTTAGACATTCAGGGAATAAAAAGATGATGGCAGTGTGGCTGAGACTTTGTGAGCTTCCGGGGAGAGCTGTATGAGCGCATTAGAGATGTAGTCAAAACACAGTTAATCTAGACCAGCGCTGTCCAAAAGAAATATGCAAGTCGTATATGTAATTTAAAATTTTCCAATAACCACACTTTTTTAAAGTAAAAAGAAACAGGTGACATTAATTTTAATCATGTATTTTATTTAACTCAATATATGCAAAACACTATCATTTCAATATGTAACCAATATAAAAGCATTATGAATGAAATGTTTTACGTTCTATTTTTTATTCTTATTCTTTCAAATCTGGCGTGTGTTTTATACTCCCATCACATTTCACTTCAGGCTAGCCAAATTTGAAGTGCTCAGTAGCCACATTTGGAGAGTGCAGATCTAGACCTTGGTATGAAGGAGTTTGTTTTTCTTTTTGGCCAGTGGGAAGCCATTGAAGGGGTTCTAAGAAGGGAACAAAATGATCTGGTATGTCCCTACTCGAATGTTAGCTCCATGAGAACAAGAACCTTGTCCACCACTGTATTCCTAACACCTAGCACAGAATACAAGCTGTATTAGATGTTAGTTGAATGAATGAATAAGAACAGGAATGAAAGCCATAGGAATGAAATAGTCTTACAAATAACTGCCAGTCCTAGTCCAAGAACAACTTTTGTTTTCATTCATTTGCCTTTCAATCAAATTATAATTAGAAGACATATTTTAGGTGGCTGGTACCTCTTTTTTTTTTAATGATCAAATTTATTATTTTAAAATATTATTTTATTGATTTTTTACAGAGAAAAAGAGAGAGGGATAGAAATTTAGAAACATCGATGAAAGAGAATCATCGATCAGCTGCCAAGGTACATCCCCTTGACTGGAATTGAACCTGGGACCTTCCAGTCCACAGGCTGATGCTCTATCCATTGAGCAAAACCGGTTTTGGCTGGTATCTCTTATATAGTAATTTTTAATAGGCCCTCACAAAAATAACTCACTCTCCCATCTCCCTGGATGAGAACAAGCTATAATAAGAATTTTTACACCTTAAGGTGTAAGCAATTCATGTAGTCTTTTTTTTTTAAGTGCCTACTAAAACATGCCCTGTATATTCAATCTATTATATCTAATAGTAACCAGATAGGAAATAAACAAAACCCTGTGGAAGAGTGAGGTACTTATAATCAGATGCATTATCGTGAAGACAGAAAAACTTGTGCAACTTTCTGTAGAGGCTGTAGATTTGCTTTGCTTCTGCATTCCCTCAAGAACGCTGAGACTAAAATTAGAGCAGCCAGCTTGTGTTTGGTTTACAGGGGCTCATGCTGGCTTCCTACTCCTCCATCTGTTGAGACAGTTTTTAGGTCCTGGCATGGAGCTAGCACATGTAAGAACCCAACTTGCCACTGTCCTGAGGATAGCAAAAACCTTTTACCCACAGACCTGAGTTCATTTCATATGTTTTGTGTGTACAGCACATCCATTTAGACTTCTTTACAGAGCAAATCACAACCTTATGTCATCTGAAAGCTAGCTTCTCAAGGGAAAGTGCGTAAAATGATACTAGCAAAGAACTGGAGAAAATGTTAGTATTATTTCACTTAAAGACTATTTTGCCACTTGACTTGACAGTAGCCCTGTAATCATTATTAGAATAAATCGCATCTCAAAGACCCCAGCAATGGAGGTTGTCAGGGGGAAATGAGGTCTCGATGTCATCTATTTACATTAAAAATGCTTACATGGTCAGGTATTACACAGCCTCTAACAATATTTACTTTCTTTTTTAGTGGAAACATTGTGGGTTATCATGTGATTGTTCCATGTTGCTCCTGTCTTCTTTCCTGTAACAATGGGCACTTCTGGATGTTTCACAGCCAGGCAGTTTATGGTATTAACAGACTAGACTCTACTGGTAAGAAACAATTGACTGGACACATTCCTATAGCATTTGTCAATCAATATCTGAGTGAAACTCCTGGTAGATCATTTCAGGACTCCCTCTGAGACTTTACCTGGGTTGGATCTTCTAGACTGAAATGTCAATCATATTATCTCAAACATTTACTTATGGATACGAGGAGCCAAAATTCATTGCTGTTCTATTTTCATCATTTTATTTAAGAGCCTCAAACTTAGCTGGATTTGTTGGGACCCCTCACCCTTTTGTTTTTTTCCCAGAGAGAAAGGGAGAGAGAGATAGAAACATCAATGATGAGGGAGAATCATTGAGCAGCTGCCTCTTTCAAACCCATGACTAGGGATTGAGCCCACACTAGGCATGTGCCCTTGACCAGAATTGAACCTGGAACTCTTCAGTCTGCAGGCTAATGCTCTATCCACTGAGCCAAACCATCTAGGGCTCTTGGCCTTTTTAAATTAAATTATTTTTTTTAATCCTCACCTGAGTATAAGATTAGAGAGAGAGAGAGAAAGAGAGAGAGAGAGAGAGAAACATCAATGGGAGAGGAAAACAATTGGTTGCCTTTTGTAAGCACCCTGATCTGGAATCCAACCAGCAACCTGTGGGTACACAAGACAATTCTCAACCAACTGAGCCACTCCAGCCAGGCTTAAATTAACATTTTAATTGCTTTAAATTCTTATCTTGATACATATTAAGACTCAAGATAATTTTGAAAGATTGTATATATGATAGTCAATTGTGTATGGGTGTGTGTGTAAGAAAGGGATGGAGGGGAGGCTGAGGCCGTGAGGAGTTGGGAGGGAAGATGACTAGATAACATGTATTTGGTGATACTGCTTTAAAACAAAAATGGACATTTTGACATATGTATTAATAAATTATGATGGAATTTTAGTCAAAGGAAATATTTAATATCAATATGTCATACTAATTATTTATAGGAAAATACTGCAACCAACTATTAAAAGATATTTACATAATACATTTTATATTGTCTAGAGCAGTGGTCAGCAAACTGCAGCTCACGAGCCACATGCAGCTCTTTGGCCCCTTGAGTGTGGCTCTTCCACAAAATACCATGGCCTGGGCGAGTCTATTTTGAAGAAGTGGCGTTAGAAGAAGTTTAAGTAATTTGGGTCTCCAAAGAAATTTCAGTCGTTGTACTATTGATACTTGGCTCAGTTGACTAATGAGTTTGCCGACCACTGGTCTAGAGCCATTTAAGTTTTGCTATAGGACACGTTTCCAACGTCTAATACCTACTTATACAACAGACCAAGTTGACATTTAGTGGGACATTTTTAGTGGAAACAAGTTTAAAGAACTTGACAATCCAAATTGGCATTAAAACTCAGGTTTTTTAATGTATATTTTAGTCTTCTTCAGAACTTAAAATATACTCTTTTTTTAAAAAAGTATGATTTCCTTCACAGACTAAAAAGAAGATCACAAATTGTAAAAGCTAGGTCGTCAGGGTCTTTAAACCCTCCAATTATGGTTGAGTTTTTAGAGACTCTGATTTTTCTTTTTTAATCACCTGGCATTTAATTGTGGCTCTCAACCATGTGGGGGGTCTTAATTTAAGATTCTAGCATGTTAAGAGAGCCATTTTTGAGCAAGGACTTACCTGAACTCCCTAGGTGTGATACAGGTTTCTAATTTAGGTTTCCAGTTTTATATTTGTGTTGCTCATGGGACACATTAAAGGAAGTTTCTGCTTTGATAGTATTTCCCCTGCTTCATGGAATTTAAAACACAGGGTGGAGATTTTTCAATTTTGATTTACTTTTTAATATTGGTCAATTTTTCAAAGATAAAAGCCCAGCATTCTTCCATTTGCATTGAATCTAATCCATGAGAAACAGATGTATCACAGGGTTTCCTTCCTCTCTTCTTAACAGAGGAAGGAAGGTGCTGCTTCTGACATGGTTTATTTTTTCTCCTTTGAACCAATTGTGCTGAGCTACTCATGTCTCTGTGTATTGACTCCAAGAATATTAGACTTCTCCTTTGTAGCCCTAGTACTGTGATTTTAAAGCAGAATTTTCTAGATGCAACAGGGTTCTCATGGCTGTTGGAACTGTCCTTGAAACACCTGAGTGAGCAGCATCAAAAGAGTACATACACAGCTTTATAAAATTCTAGAATGTTTACACTGAAGGGTCCAAGAAGTCTAAGTTCTAGGCTAGTCTAACCATATGGACCTGATTTCCGAAGATGTTCCTGAGGAAGCTTGAAAACCTCAGCTCATCTTCACTGGGGTGGGTAAAGGCCTCCAAAGGCAAATTCACTTCAACACTCACTGACCTTTATGGGTTCTAATTGGCCATTAGGTTTGACCTAGTGATTCCTTACTATCTTGTCAGCTCTCAATGCCATCTGACCAGAAGCAAAACACCATTCATTATTGGGGAAAGGGTGTTTTATATTATAAACAATTTAAACAGACAAAAAATTACGGAAAACAATATAATAGGCATCTGTATACATCAAACAGATGCTAATTTCTTGCCTTATTAGATTCCAGTATCTCAACTAAGATAGTTGATTGTTTCTGTTGTTTCAGCAATACAAGAGTGCACATTCTTGTACATGTCTCCTCAGGCACCTGTGCAAAATGGGCAGTAAGAGGAAAGGATGGGCGATGGGTCATATTTGCAATATATATACTTTTTTTAAAAATTCACACAATGGAATACAGAAAAGAAAATGAGCTAAATCTGCACATACGGGTATAGGTAAATCTCAAAAACATAATGTCTAATGAAAAAAGCAAATCAGAGCCCTGGCTGGGTGTCTCAGTTGGTTGGAGCATCGTCCCACACACCAAAAACGGTTGCGGGTTCAATTCCCCGTCAGGGTACATACCTAAGTTTAGGGTTGGATTCCTGGTCAGGGCATGCATGGGAGGCAACCGATCAATGTTTCTTTCTTTCCCTTCTTCCTCTTTTTCTAAAATCAATAAACATATCCTCAGGTGATAATTAAAAGAAAAAGTAAAATTAGAAAAGATACATATAATACCATATTATAAAATTTTAAATACATAAAACAACAATATAGATAGTCTGGTTGCGTGCATTTGTAGTAAAAGTAGCAAAAACATCCATGGTGTACTGGTAAGGGGTGACAACTGAGTTCAAACTAAATCTCCAAATCCTGGCTCATTCCATTCCACTATGTGGCCGCTGTCTTGGTATGTGTGGAGTGGATATCCAGACTTGCTGAGTCGCTTGGGCCCACACTGCCAACTGGACAGCTTGAGATTTACTTTCTTACAAGACTTCACTGGCTCTTCTAAAGGTCATTTTTTTTTTTCAAATTTAGTGCTTTCAAGTTATAATATAGTGTATGCCCAGAGTAAACCATCTCATTATTCTCTACCAAATATGTGGTCTTATATTATATACAAATGCTGGATTCGTCAATATGAAAGCTGACTGACCTTTCACAATGAGGTTTTAGGTAGTTGTTTTATTTATTGTCTTGACAGCAACAATCTAGTTCTAAAGTTGACAATTCTACCTTGACAACCTCTAGATTAAAATCCATGTATATCAAAGACTATTGTTCATATTATAACTGGCTCCAAAACCTGGCTTTTTTTAATCAGAAAAAAAAGGCACCAGCTATTTCCATGCTTGTTGAAGAGATGAGTGCTTTCCCTCCAAAGAGATACTTAATCTAAAGGATCTTGTGAGATCTCCATTCTTAAAAATCATTAAAATAGATTTGAAAAGTATCACTGTACAGTTATTATGGCATAATGTAGCTGGAGGCAAGGTCTGAGTAAATGGATTCATAAGATCCATTTGAGTCCTAAGATTTTAGAATTCAAGCCCTTGCATAAAATAGTTGAAGAATATGTATGCCCTTGCCGAGACCGGTTTGGCTCAATGGATAGAGTGTCGGCTTGGGGACTGAAGGGTCCCGGGTTCGATTCCGGTCAAGGGCATGTACCTTGGTTGCGGGCATATCCCCAGTAGGCAGCTGATCGATGACTCTCTCTCATCGATGTTTCTAACTCTCTATCTCTCTCCCTTCCTCTCTGTACAAAATCAATAAAATATTTTTTTTAAAAATAGAATAAGTATGTTCTAGATGATTATATTAAATAATTTTATTTGTGGTACAGTTTTTCAATGCTTTTTCTCTTTACTGCTAACACTGTGGTTTAATATAACAATATTAACATAAAGGTTTCATATATCATGTTCTGAATTATAATGGTAATGAGTACCGAGTAACTGTGACTTTTTCTTTTCAGGTGTTAACTTCCTACTTTGGGGCAACTTGCCAGAGCTAGAAGAGAGTGCAGATGAAGACATGTTAGATATCTCAGCAGAGGAGTGTATTAGATGAAAGGAGAATAGATCTATGATAGTTCTAATATTCAGACTTTTTGCTATTTAAAATGTATATTAATGGATCAATTTTAAATGGTTAGTAAGGATTTTCCAGTGATTTCTTTTTCTAGAAAACCAAAATGGGGCATTTGTTGGTTTATTTATTTGATGTCTTAAATTAATTACCTGTTTAATTTGAGCCAATGTAGTTTTTCTACTTCCACTTCTTTTTCTTCCTCTCTCCATTCATCTGCCCAGTATAGGTAAATTCTTTTTTTTTTTTTTTGTATATTCTTAACTTCGCATAAGAGACTTTTTTCATGTGCCACTCAACTACCTCTCAATATGGAGAAGTTTTTCTTACAACTAGATGCCAGGTATATTATTTTACATTCCTGAATAAAGGGCATTAGTACCCATACATATATCAGCCGTGCATAAATCCATGCATAAATCCACACACACATCTCTCTCTCTCTCTCTCTCTCTCTCTCTCTCTCTCTATATATATATATATATATATATATATATATATATATATATATGTGTGTGTGTGTGTGTGTGTGTGTGTGTGTGTGTGTGTGTATATATATATATATATATATATATATATATATATATATAATGCTCAACTTGGAAATAAACCTTAACAGAGAATTTAAAAAAACAAGCTGATAGGTTTCCATGGGTACTAGTTATCATATGTTATTTTGGTGACAACTACTTTAATGTGGAAGAATGCTTTGTAAATCAACAAATATAATAAATTTTTAAATATGTGGAGAAATCTTTTTGATTCCTCAGCATGATGTCAGATAAATGAATTTGTCAGAAAATTATCAATATATACTGTTTACCAATATTATTTATTTACCTTCTTCTAAAGTCATATGGATATTGTATTATGAAAGCCAGATAACAAACCTCTGTCTTTAAGTTACCTCATTCTCTAGGACTTTCTCTGTAAATAGCAAATTTTAAATGAGTAGTCTCAGTCCCAACCCTTAAATAGAAAAACAAAACCAAAATCTAAAGAAGTGGTTTGTTTAAGCCCTTGTGCATTATAAAGAGAGTGTGTTCTTTTGTAAGCTACATTCTGGGCCACACAAAAATAGGAAACTGGGATAGTGTTGGATTCTCGTTTTATGTATAGCTAAAATCAATGTATAGCCTCAGCTAGTATCACAGCTATAGGTGTTTTGTCAATAATGATACCAAAACAGATTTAGTTGTGGTTTTATAAATAAACTATTGTCCTGAAAATGATCAGCCTTTCTTTAATTTTTTATTGTACCTACTTTTCTTACCTAAAAATATAAAAGTATCGAATATAGTAGCTAACATGTATTGAGTGCTTACTGTGTACCAGACACTGTTGTAAATGCTTTACATATTTAATTCACTTATTCCTCTTATTCCATAGGAGGTAGATGCCATTGTTTCTCCTTTTTTACTGATGAGGCAGGTGAGGCCTAGAGAGGTGAAGTAGTTTGTCCAAGGCCACTTGCCTGGTCAGAGTGTATGGCCAGATTCAAACTCAGGCCGACCTGCTCTTCATCTTTATATGGTTGCTCCTGAGCAACTTCAGGTGGTCATCAACTAGATAGTTTTATTTGGCCGGATAACGACTGCCACGTTATGTGAGGGCCTCAGTGACTGGTTTCAAGATTGAGCACTCACACTGGGTCCTAGGGTAAAAGTGACCTGTGGACTCTTGACAGCCATTTACTGGGAACCAAGATAAGAGATGTTCAGGAAGTGCTGTTACTAGTACCCGGGAAATTGAACAGATTAACTGAAGTAATATATGTAATATAGTATCTTTCACACTGACCATCAGCACTGACGGGGTCACCAAAACAACAAAGGGATGAGTGAAACAGTTTGTTTTTTGAATTGAGATTTTTTTTCTTTAAGCTTTCAAAGACTTTCTGAAACAAGGTGGCATAGTGGATAAATAAAAATATATATAAATTGATACTATAGTACATATACTGCTTCAGTTAATCTGTTCAATTAGAGAAGAAACCTTTAATGCTAAAGTAGAGAATGTGGAAAATTTAAATTCAACAGAGTTCATCTGGTTTCCTCCTGCTCATGCCTGGTTGACTGGAGGGGCTCTTTGAAGAGCAAAAACAAGACAAGCACTGATTGAAGCAAGCCCCAAGGGCAATTCCACTCCAGCAGGAAAATATTTTGAATTACATAGCTACTTTTTGGCAAACTGAGCTATGGGAAAGCCAAGTCTAAGCTGAAAATGGGTTCATAATGTTTTATCTAGAGAAATATATTCATGACACTTTTTTAATAAAAGCAAATTATACACTCTGGTCCAAAGACCAAAAGCAAAATCATATACATAGATTTAGCATACATTCTCTAGTCCTAGCAAATTTCTAAGCCTAGAAAATCCATTGATGCTTTGGTTTTCTTCTAATACTTGATTCGATTCAACAAACCTGTCTTATGTTCCTGTGGTGTACTAAGAATTGCCCAGCGACAGGCTCATGTTTGCCTTCATGGTATTGGGGAAAGAATAGAACTTCTACTTAATGCATAGGGTTAAGTGATTTAACAAAGGCATTCTTAAAGTTCAATAACTCCATAGATGAAAGAACACTCATTTTGAGTAGCAGGAGAGAGTGGGAGTTGAGAAAACTACACAGAAAAAAAAAAAGATACTTGAGCCAGGTTCTTAAGCACTGTTATGGGTTTGCCAGCTGGGATAGAAATTCTGGGCAGAGAAAATGGTGTAAAAAAATGGACCAGATTTAAAAGTATCTGGCTTATTCGGTAAATTATAAGTGGCCTTCTACACCTTCCACGAGATGTAATGAGAATTCATTAGAAGATAAAGCTATCAAGGAAGTTTGGGGACATGTTATGAAGATTATTCTGTGGCGTTGTGAGTTTAGACTTGATCCAGTAGCAATGTAGAGTTATTAAAGTTTGTAAGCAAGAGAATAAAAGATTAAATTTAGAATGCTAGCTAATGGTAACGTGCAATCAAGTTTAGTTTCCTACTGTCCTTTTTGATGCACTTACCAACTTGATCATGAAAATTATATTTATTGCTTTTACCCTTTGAACATATATAGGCTTTTAAGTTTCCTGAATTTCTTGCCTTTCATGAAACATCTGGTCTGCAGTGGGGCAGTGTGCTTTTTCCCCCTGTTCCATCTTGTCATTCTGAAGTTCAGAAGTTCAAAGAAGGGGCAGTGAGTCATCAGCTCAGTCGCTATGGCTTCCCCCGTACCCCCTTTATCTTTTTCTTCAAGTTATTTTCTCAATCTCAAACTCAATCACCGATGAGTGAAGCCTAATATTAAAGCCATAATATTTTGAATAATTCCTGGCCCTGAAAATCAGGTCTTTAAATATTACTAATATTTAATAATCCCTGACTCTGAATATTACTAATCTGGGAGATTATCCCACAAAGAACTGCTCTTTTGACCTCTGAGTTACATGTGGCTGATAAAGAATGATCTGTATTTCTTTTCTCCATAAGGAGGACGTGACTATAATACATAAATCATTATCTATTAAATATCTAACTTATCTATAATAATAAAAGCATAATATGCTAATTAGGCTGGACGATCTTCTGGATGAAGCCACAGCTGTGAGGGAAACCCGGGTCTGGGTGCTAGAGGGAAGCCAATGCCAGCAGCCAGGGAAAGGAAGGCCTGGTCTTGCACAACTTTCGTGCATCGGGCCCCTAGTTGGAACATAAAAGGAGGGTGGGGAAAGGCAGAAGAGAATATGGATTAAGTAGTCTGGCTCAGCCCTGGCCCGTGAGCTCAGTGGGAAAGAATGTTGTCCTGATTCTCCAAGGTTGCAGGTCCTGGTCAGGGCACACACAAGAATAAACCATTGAGTGTATAAATAAGTGGAACAACAAATCTCTCTTTCTCTTCCCCCCTCCTCCTCTTTCTCAAATTAATTTTTTTGAATTAGTCTTGCTTAGGTGAAGCATTACTTGATGAAGGCTTTCTCTATTTTAACATTCATGCTTATAAAAGGAAATGGTTTCCTTTTCTGCCTTTTTTTTTTTTTTTTTTTTTTTTTCTTTAAAAGCAGCCTAAACCATAGTTTCTTTCTTGCCTGGTATTGAGTGTATGCCAAATCTACCCTAAAATGCACAGATGGAAAAAATTAGTCTACGTCTGTGGTACCTCTGGGGTTGAATATTTTTAGGACTTAAATCTTTAGCTAAAGATTCTTTCTTCCAAGACTCTCATAGAATTATTTTATTGACATCCAATGGATAAACTTGCTGAGATAAAAATTAGTATCATGTGTTTGTATATCCCTTTATAGTTTATTATGATCTTTCACATACACCTTAATTTAGTCCTCAAAATAACCTTTAAATTATTCCCATTTTACCAATTAAGAAAGAAACCCTTAGTCTCAACACTTAGAGTTAGAGGAATTTAAACTTGAATGTGGGCTTTCTCACCTTAGTTTAGGATTCTTTTCTACCTCCTTAACCTGCCCTAAACCCAAAGTCCATGTTTCTCTCACTAGATGTAAAACTTAGAACACCTTCTTTTTCACTTTCAACCTCAAAGCCTAACTACTCTCATTAATTAATCCATTCAACAAATCTTACTGAATGCCTAAAGTAGGAAAAATGGAAGCTGAGGATAAGCCCAAGCCACTGCTCTCATGAGGAGCTAACACTATGTTGAGGAGAAGGAAGAAAGTGAGCTAATGTTTATTGAGGATTTACTGTATGCCCAGCACTGTTCTAAGTGCTTTATATGTAACAACTCTAAGGGGTAAATCCTATCATTATCCCTACCATACAGTTCAGAAAACAGGTGTAGAGGAGTTAAAGAATATGCCCAATGACACCACTCTAAGATTTGGAGGAGCCAGAATGAACGTGTCTTCTTTTTATTTTCCAATGTAGTTGTCTTCCATCCAAATAAAATCCAGTGTTTCATCAACACGCTTCCTGTACACATCTTTCCCTATTAGACCTTAGTTGATGTGAAGTTAAGATGGTGGCACTAGCATCTCCCTTTTCAATCAAGGAGATGTGGTATGCTTA